AGACTAAGCTGCTTCTGGTGAAACCAGAGCAGTGCATGGAAATGCTTTTTACCTTCCCGCCGGAGCGGTACCTATTTTTCTGCTTGCACGGACGTGCTTTTGAACTGCTAGGTGGGCAGGAACTGGGACTGAGCAACGGGAGCTCACCCCGTCGTGGGGATTCGAACTGCTCACCTTCCAATTGGCAAGCCCTAGGCTCAATGGTTTAGACCACAGCGCCACCTGGGATCGTGGATCTCACTGCTGAAAATACTTCTTTAGATGTCTTTTGACACTGTTGAAATGGATATGCCTATTAATCAGCAGTGGTAGCTAGTTGGGAGTGGTTCACACCCACACTTGGTTGCATCTTGGATTATATTAATTTGATTGGATTCTTCTCTCTGAATTTATGGAACATTATCTGCCTACCTTGCAAGGTGACCATTTCATTCCTCTAACAAAATGGGCTCTCTGGCTCATGTAGATTTAAAGGTAAAGGTAAAGGGACCCCTGACCGTTAGATCCAGTTGTGTCTGACTCTCGGGTTGCGGCGCTCATCTTGCCTTATTGGCCGAGGGAGCCGGCGTACAGCTTCCGGGTCATGTGGCCAGCATGACTAAGCCACTTCTGGCGAACCAGAGCAGTGCACGGAAATGTCGTTTACCTTCCCGCCAGAGCAGTACCTATTTATCCACTGGCACTTTGATGTGCTTTTGAACTGCTAGGTTGGCAGGAGCAGGGACCGAACAACGGGAGCTCACCCCGTCGCTGGGATTCGAACTGCCGACCTTCTGATTGGCAAGTCCTAGGCTCTGTGGTTTATCCCACAGCACCACCCACGTCCCTATTCCACCCACGTCCCTATTCCACCCGCGTATAGCACATTAAATCTGTTCTCTTTTAAGAAACCGAAATGGTCTTTTGTTTTACGTAAATAACTTGTTTAGATCAACAGCACCCATTCTTTTACTTTCTCGGTCATTTGGTTGAAACAATCAATGGGTTGTTTTGAATGAATGAATGAAACTTTATTTGCGTCAGCCATTGGCCATAGCAACAAAAAACATTGCAATATACACTGAACAAAATAAAAAGTTGATTATATAAAACACAGTTTAGGGTCCTGAATCAGCAGTCAAATAGTGGACCTTATTCTGATTGTCCCAGCTAGAAACCTTGCAACCTTTACAGTCATCTGCTCCTCTTGATCTGCGAGGAGAAACGACACTGTGGCAGTGGTTGGGCGACCCGGAACGGTCAATAAAAGGTGTGATAATCTCATTCCTAAAGTCTTTGTAAAGAGTGTAAGCCAGGAGGGCATGTACCACTGATTTGGTGCTGCCATCTCCGCAGGAACATAAGCGCTTTTTGTATGGAATCTGTTGGAATCGTCCCTCAAGTACAGCCGAGGGCATTCAGGTACATTCAGTCTTGCAAGGGTGAAGGCCTGTCTATATTTTGGAATTGCCAGATTATACAGATAGGGTGCCAGGGAGTCAAAATGGGAGGATGGAAAATGGTCATACCATGGGCAAAATTTCCTTAATGTGGCCAAGTTGTTCTGATGCTTGATACCATTTAGGCATTGGCAAATTAGACTGTTTGCTTTGCTATAATCCACGGTGAGTAGCTGTTGTGGGGATAAACCACAAGAGTGCAGTTTTTGATTGACAATTTTAGACCAGGCACACATAGGGCTGTTTCCTATGATCCAAGAGCTCATTTTTGCATCTGTTCTCAAGCGTATGCCTTCAGATGTACCAATTCAGTGGACTCACCTTTCCATCTCTGTATGATTTACAGTATCTTTATTAAGGACTATTTATTGCATGCTACTGATGTCTTCTCTAGCCATAACAATATACAGTGGTACCTCGGGTTACAAACAGGGTTACAGACTCTGCTAACCCAGAAGTAGTACCTCGGGTTAAGAACTTTACCTGAGGATGAGAACAGAAGCTGCGCAGTGGCGGCACGGCGGCAGCAGGAGGCCCCATTAGCTAAAGTGGTACCTCAGGTTAAGAACGGTTTCAGGTTGAGAATGGACCTCCGGTACGAATTGAGTTCATACCCCGAGGTACCACTGTATAGCATAAGATTACCTGTGAGCGAACTGAAGGATATATGGACCACTCTACATGTCACAAAAACACAAGGATCCTTGGGATGGATGCTATAAACTTTGTCCCTAGGAAAGCACTTAATATGATCAGGAAATTAAAAACTGTATATAAGAAGTCCCAATAACTTTTTAAGAGTAATGTTTTTCATGGGAGAAAAGATTTTTATTTCGGAAATGGAGGTATACCTCACACAAACCAAATAAATGCTCCAAATAATGTCTGTGACTTATTTAAACATGATTTCACATCTCAGCTAGAATAGTTCTTTTGGATCATGACTGCTTTTCTCTTGAAATGCCTCTTTTAGCTACCCAAACACAGAACACTCTGTAATAAACATGATTTTTGTCTAATTTTATCTCCACTTTCTTCACACTCTCTTCTAAAGTTCATTTTACCACCTGAGAATTTTTTTGCAAGAAGCTCACATTTAAATCACAAAGTGTAATAAATACGCATTTGCTTTTTTCACTGCATATATACATTCAGCATGGACACATGTTAGGAAGCTATGGGTGGTCATAGAGGCATGCGGCAAACATTGACATGTGATTCAAATGCATTGGATGAAATCCATCTGTGGCATTCTGCTGGCACAATGGGCTTCACTTGTAAAAACAGAACTTTCTCCTTTCTCCTCAACCTTCCACAGCCCTTGGATAACCTCTGCTCTTGGAAGATCATCTGGAGCAGATTAGGTTTGTGGGTTGCTTCACGGGGAAGGAGATGAATAGGAATTCCATTGTGTTTGCTGGCATGACACTGGAACTCACCAATCTACATGTGCAGATTTATGGGAAATTCCTGTAAGAAACTGTCTTCCATGCAGGAATATGGTCCTAAGACCTACACTTTTCTCCTCCAGCCACTCCCATGCATCACAAACCAGTTGGGATCTATAGAGGACCAATTTAACTTTTCTAGAGTTCACCACCACAAGTTTCTATTTACATGCACATGAGAGAACGAGATGTTACCTTGCAAATGAAAGTAGTTTACACCCTTACTTTATTTAATTTTAAAATAAAGACATCATTTTCAGGATTGAATTGAAAGTGGTAAGCAACAGTCTTGTTTAGAAAACAATCACTTTGGACCAATCCCTGCTATTTTTGGAATCCTGAATATGGACATTTCTCCCTCCTTTAACCACCTCAGCCAGTCAATGCATGGAAGCGACTCCATCCTTCCCAGTTTGCCTCCCCAATTCTAGTCAATCATACCATTTTATGTTCACCCCAAACCAATCTGTGAGAATCTTTAAACCCCCTACCTCCTAGTGTCCCAACCAGGTAGCTTGTTTGATCCTCAATTGCTGCCTCTCATACAAGCCCATCTCCATAATAACTCACCACTAGATTGTGTTGGTTCAATAAGGTGGCTTCTTATAGAGTTCACTAATAAGACCAAAACAGCCTTCTATCCTGTTATAAGAAATTGCTGCTGTAGTTCTTGAATTTCTCTGTTTACTCCTCAACTGAGAACAACTTTAAATTTTTTAATTAAGGTATATAAAGAAAACTACAAAACTTAATATCTCTTCCCTCACCCCCTCCTTTTTTAGCAAACCGAGACTTTTTACCCAAAAACAATAAAAACACAAATGGGGGGGGGATAGAGAAGGGAAAAGAAATAAAAAAGATTAGAAAAGAGGTTAAAAGAGAAAGATAGAAAAATAAGATTCAGAAAGTAAAGAACTTCCGATTCTTCATCTGTCTGATATCTGAAAATAATATTCACTTCATCCACTCCAATATAACACCCAACAAAGCCACTAAACATAAACAAACATCATATTCAATTCTCAAATCCAGATATCATTATGGTTTAATTAGTGGGAAATATGTGCAAAAAGGACAAGAGGCTTCACAATAATGAGCAATGTTAAAAACAAAACACTCAAACATCAATATCAGTAGCTCTCGTTCCACAGCTTTCATCTGCTATCACTGTCTTCTTAACACTGGTGTGCTGTTTTCCTCCATTCAAGGGCAAGATGTGAAATATAAACCATGAACTCCAACTCATAAAGCCAATTTCTTGCCACATTTAATATGGTTTGATATCTCTGGTCCTATGGAATGCTTAGTGACTTGACAGAACTTGAAAATCACCCAGAAGAATAATTTGTAAGCACATACAGAAGCTTTTCAAAGTCTTCCAAAGGGAGATCAAAGAATTGTAAAAAAAAACATATTGACAGGTATCTTTCGCTTTCATTTAAAAGACTGTTGTTAAACTCAAGTTCTAACATAATAGTTACTCCTCAGGATAAACGGTAGAATGTTAATTAGAAAGAAAAGTGAATATAGTTGTGCATTTCACAAAGCCATGAAAAAGCACATGTACTTTTAACAGTTCAATTAGCATCAGTAGTTATCATAGTTCTGTGGTGTATTTTGAAAGAATATGCCATAGAAGAATGATAAATATATGTGTTCATTAAACTTTTTTTTTAAGTAAAATAATACATGTTCAGTCATATCACCTCAAGCAACCCCTACCAACATTTCATTCAGAAAACCAGCTACAAACTGCATGGCACAATGCATAGTACTAACCATTTTAAGTTGTTGTACAAGTTCATCCAATACATTGTATAAAACAGGTAGAAGTAGAGACTAAGATCAGAACCCCAATCAGATATTGGCTTGGATCTTGACTTTGGTGGAAATCTTCTCAAGGTATGCTCCCACCAGCAGAAGGAGGAAGTAAACTTCCATCTACTCCCCTTTCCACAAAAAAACCTGTTCTGGAAAGATGGATAACTCGCCAAAAGAGTGGGAAGCCCGGGAGGAAGAGAGGGAATTGATGTAAATTTCCTCTCCCTTCTGCTAGAGGGATCTTTAAGCTGTCTCAAAAGCCTCTGTGGACAGAAGGCACCTTTCTTCTCTTGTCGGGATAGCTCAGTTGGTAGAGTATGAGACTCTTAATCTCAGAGTCATTGGTCTGAGCCCTACATTGGGCAAAAGATTCCTGCATTGTAGGGAGTTGTGTTAAATGACCCTCGTGGTCCCTTCCAACTATGATCCTATTTTTGAAAGACTAAACTTGAATCTAAGCCATCATACGTAGACTGGCTGATTCCCTGGTCTGTATTCATTCGTTATTTTATTTAAGATTATTGTTTAAGGAGAATCCATCATAAGTGGTCACTCGTGTAGACAATGCTTTGTGTACAGCTATACCAGACCTTACAAGTGTCCCTATTTTCCAGGGATCACACCAGTTTTGCAGAAGTTGTCCCTGTTTTTTATTTGATCCTGGAATGTCCTGCTTTTCCTCAGGACGTCCCTATTTTCATTGGAGAAATGTTGGAGGGTATGGAAGGATGTCCCTATTTTCATTAGAGAAATGTCAGAGGGTATGGAGTTATGTGACCCCCGATCCAAGGAGATACAGTGGTACCTTGGGTTACAAACGTTTCGGGTTATGTGTTTTCAGGTTGCGGACCGCAGGAAACCCGGAAGTACTGGAAAGGGTTACATCTGGGTTTCGCCGCTCGTGCATGCACAGAAGCACTAAATCACGCTATGCACATGTTCAGAAGCACCAAATTGCATCACGCACATGCGCAGACGTGGTGCTGCAGGTTACGAACGCTGCAGATTGTGGACGTGCCTCCGTCACGGATTACGTCCGCAACCCAGGGTTCCACGGTAAGTAACTATACAACTTTTAGAAGAAGCCCTTTATATGGAAGTTGGTTAATGTTTAATGTTTTATTAAGATTTTATATATGTTGGAAGCCACCCAGAAGGCTGGAGCAACCCAGCCAATGGGTTGGGTATAAATAAGAAGAATAAGAATAAGAATAAGAATGAAATAGGACATCCATATTTTCATCAGAGAAATGTTGGAGGGCTTGGTGTCCTCCTATAGCTGAGTACAGCTTTTCTTGCAGATGGCAGAGCATGGCACTCTGAAAGCATTCATCGGGATGAAACTGAATGATAAAGTCAGCATATGTTTCAGAACTTTGCACCATGAATACAAACACCAGTGATAGCTTGTGAACCCAAGTATGCCGTCAAGTTTCTCTGTGAAGAGCTGGCTTTGTAGGGTGAGAAGGATGGATTCTCCTTCCTTTTGCCCATATGGGGTGCATTGCTTGCTAGAGTCAGTGGGCAAAGCCTGTCAGCAGCTTGTCTGTGGCTTCAAGAGAGAAAATCCAGTACTGACATGACTTTGTTTCCCGTCTTGTCACAGTAAGTCTTCATTAAATCCTGCTGCACCACCAGTTCCTGCTGTGAAGGCCCATTAGCAGCACTGGCTGCAGTGTTAACATGGGGCTGAAATTAACCCACGTCACCCTGCGAGCCTTCTGAAACATGCACCATGCAGGCACACACCAGGATTTTGCAAACCTGCTGATTGTCTAGGAGATAATGAAAGCACTCCTGTGTAAAGGAGAAACTGCTGGAAATGGGTCAGCGCTACATGCAAAGCAGCAGCTCAAAAAAAAAAAAAAATGCTTCTGGCAGCACAAAATATCTACAAAGAAATCTTGTTCTTCTTCGAAGCGTGGCAAATCTTCAAGGGAAAAGCATGTGTGCATCATATATCCATTGAGCTGGACAAAAATAAAGAAAAGGCTAAATAATGTTTTAAAGTATCTATAAAACAAGCAATTACGCTCGATATGCATTTGAACACACCATTATTTTTAATGGAAATTGGTGTAATTGGGGACATGATACTTAGCTGCCCCTCTTCCACACCACCTGTCACTGTCTTGTCAATGGCCCAACTTTGTTGGACCGTAATTTCCAGTACTCAGAAATGATGACAGTTGCAGCCAGGTCATGCTCTTAGTTACAAAGAAAATTTTATTTAATCTTTTTGCAAAATATATTTTCATTGAGTTTAGTGCAAAACAAGAATAAACAGAAACTTCCTTTCCCTCCCACCAGAGATGCATTTAGGGGTGTGTGACCAGCTTGGTGGCCCTGGGGGAGCCTCAGGAGACACTGCAATTAAGATTTAGAATGGATTGTGAGAGGGAGAGGAGTGCCAAATTTTGGTGTGACACACAACGCCGTCGAAATCTGAGACCCCAAGTTCCGCCTCTGCCCTCCACCATTGCAGATCATCATTCTTGTAAGGCAAACAACAACCAGAGATGGGCACACATAGCCGGTAGAAGCCAGTTTTCTGCATTAACAATAGAAGAGGCTATAAATGCATAACATATTTCAGTAAAATTGTCCAGTTCCTGGGTGTTGTTTCATGCCTTTATATCTGCAGTCAGTTTCTCCATCAGTGCTGTTTTCCAGACCTTTTTTCTCCACTGTGTGAGGTTGAAGTGGTCCAAACACTTTCAGAAACTTCCGTAAAGCCAGTTGTGGAGAACTTTGCATTGCCTATTGCATAATGGGACTAATTTCTTTAAATATTGTAGTCCAAAATATCTGTATTCTGTCACAAGTCCGCCACATATGATACATAGCACCTTACACCGGCGCAACAAAGAGGAGAGGAGGATGAGCTAATACAATTACATTGCAGAAGCATAAGGTACCACCTATCTAACAACCTGAAAGTGCTGAAAGTGAGTGTTCATTGTCTAGGGTTGCCATATTTCATTTTAGCCACCCGGAATGGGAAAAATTATAGAATACGGAACTAAAATTTACAGTATGTGTGGCAATTAAGGAAAATTATATGAAAATGATGTATAGATGGTATTTCACTCCAGTGAAATTAGCAAAGATATACAAAAATAAAGAAAGTAGATGCTGGAAATGTAAATCAGCAGAAGGGACATTTTTTCGTATGTGGTGGGATTGTAAAATTGTAAAGATATATTGGGAAATGATTTATAATTAAATGAAGAAGATGTTTAAAATTACCTTTATTAAAAAGCCAGAAGCCTTCCTACTAGGTATTATTGGAGGGGATGTACCAGGAGCAAAAAAGGTTTTATTTAAATATTCAATGACAGTAGCACAAATATTATTAGCTCAGGACTAGAAAGAAGGAGGTGCCCCAGTGCTGAAATGGCTAAATTGACGTTAAAACTAAGAAGAAGAGACAACAATGGATTTAGAGCAGAATGGTAGAACTTTATTGCATATATATATATACAAAAGCATTGTACACAGGTCAATACATTGGCAGGATTTTAAAGTACTTGTAATGTGATTACGAATAAGATAATAAGTAAAAATAATGACTTTCAGACTACAGAGGACATGCGGTGTGAAGAAACACAATGTAACCAAGGAAACGGTTAGGGGGAAGTCAATTCTTTAAATATTTGGACATGAATATACATTGTTACTGTATAAGTTTGTAATTTTTGGGAAATTAATAAAATATTATAAAAAAAGAAAAGAAAATTCCACCTGGATGCCATTTTCGACAGCCGAATCCCAGTTATGTCTGGGAAATTCCAGACATATGGCAGCCCTATTATTGTTATTTAACCTCCCCACAAACAAATCAGAACAAAAGTTCAATAATGACCAGATGTTGTCTGGTGGCCTCATAAGCTTTGGTACAAGCAAATTGCAATGAACACTCAATAAATACATTGTCTGGAGGGCTCTCACTGTTCTCAGTTGGGCTTACTCCCACGGAATGTGTATAGGATTGCAGCCTAAGTGAAGAATGTGTGCATTCATGTTAATGCATATGCATTATAAGGCCCTTTCGTTGTTGGCATCCCTCTGTCTTCGGAGTCAACGGAGGAGTGCGCCTTTGGGGGTGAAGTCATGCAGTACATGAATTGACATTTCATACACTGCTGAGGTATAATTTGAACTGAGAATAATAACTATTCCGGGACACCATTTGAAAGAAGGTGGCAGGATGGATATTGATCTTTGTTGCGTGTTGAGGTCCCCCAAGCCACCCCTCAAAATAAATCACAATTCACACAGAATTTTTGTTTATGGTTTTTGGTATAATTTTGGCCACAACTTTATTAAAATACATAAATGTGATTGTTTGCTTAGGCATTGGTTACAACTATCTTTCCCCTCCCAGGGACAGAACTGACTTCCGCAACCCTGTGAAATCCAATAAGGGAAAACATTTGGGGGAGAAAATGGAGCTGGGCACCATACCCTCACCTCTCCCCAAATGCTCCCAGGAGTTTACACGGCCCAAGCCCCATGCCAGGGATTTGGACAAAAGCATGGCGAGCCCCTGGATTCCTTTAATGGAATACCCTTGCAGCAGCAGCATTGGAGGGGCAGGCACTGCCAACTATATCCCCTCCACCAACCAGTTTTAACCAATGCCTAACCGCAACCTTACAAGTTGTGACGATTTGCTACGCAGTAGGCAAAAGCCAAATGGCACCAGCCAATCAGCCAGATGGACAAAATTCCTACCAGGCACCTGCCCCAAAAGCAGATGACCGCATGACAGGCATAGCAAGGTCAGACACACAAGCCCTAACTTAGGGAGGGTGGGCGGGTGATCCGGTGCACGCAGCGAAAGAGAACGCAGAACGCTCAATGCTGTGGGCTCAGTATATAAAACCTTGGTCCATCCCACAAATTGGTAACATCAAAATTTCCCCAGCAACCCAAAACAGCCCAATCACTGCCGTGGGCATCTATATGATCCCGCCCAGCAACAGAGGGGTGGCCTGTCAGACCCCACCGCAACACGTGCTCTCCATGAAGGAGAACACGCTTTATGAGAACCGGGGTATTATAAGAATGTCCTTTTCTGTCTGTCTTTCTTTCTTTCTTTCTTTCTTTCTTTCTTTCTTTCTTTTGGCTTTCATTTTCCTGTGAAAACATTGGAAGCCATGGGAGCATGAGGTGGAGGGTGTGTCTGAAATGCACAGAGGAGCAAAAAGTAGGTCGACACGAGGTAAGTGCAGCCATAGTCATTGGGTTTATGGGACAGGCAGCCTTATAATTTATTTAGCCTGTAATAATTTATTTAGAAGAGCATTCGTACATCAAAGGCTCTATGTAGACCAGCTGGAAAATAGATGGAGCAGCAGAT